TTCCAGAACATCGTCCCCATCTCGCTCTACATCTCGTTCGAATTCGTCCGCCTCGCGCAGGCTTACTTCATCTACGACGACTACGACATCTGGTATGAGAAGACCAACCGACGCACCACCGCCAAATCCTGGAACCTCTCCGACGACCTCGGCCAGATCGAGTACATCTTCAGCGACAAGACCGGTACCCTTACGCAGAACGTCATGATCTTCCGCGAGTGCGCCGTCTCGGGCGTCATTTACCACGGGGAAGTTGCATCACCCCACATCGGCACCTCGGAGACGACGGCAGGCGACGCGCCCAATGTCGTGTCGGAGAAGGATGGATTCTCCAGCAACGAGGGCTCTTCGGGTTCGGAGCAAGGACACGAGTCGGGCGTCAAGGTCAAGCCTCTCAATCCAGAGATCCCTCCATTCCGCGACCAGAAGCTAATCGACGCGCTCAAGGACGCCAACTCGGAGCACAGCGAGCAGCTCGGCCGCTTCTTCCGCTGTCTCGCCCTGTGCCACACTGTGCTCGTCGAGGAGCAGGAGGACGGCAGCATCGAGTACCAGGCGCAGAGCCCCGACGAGCAGGCGCTGGTTCAGGCTGCCGCCGATGCCGGCTTCATCTTCCTCAGCAAGGAGCGCCAGACACTCCGCATCCTTACGCCCTTCTCCAAAGAGCCCGAGACCTACGAGCTGCTCACTGTCAACGAATTCTCGTCCGCCAGAAAGAGGATGAGCGTGATTGTCCGCCGCGAGTCGGATGGACAACTGCTCATGCTTGCCAAAGGTGCCGACAGCATCATGTTTGAGCGAGCCCGTCCCGGCCAGGACGAGATCAAGCAGGCTACGGACGCAGCGCTCGAGGAGTTCGCCAACAAGGGTCTCAGGACGCTCTGCCTGGGTGGCAAGGAGCTCTCGGGCCAGTTCTACGACGACTGGTCGCACCGCTTCCACGAGGCCTCCGTCTCCATCCAGGAGCGCGAGGAGAAGATGGAGGCGCTGGCGAGCGAGCTTGAAAAGGATTTTGACCTGTACGGCGCCACGGCGATCGAGGACAAGCTGCAGGACGGTGTGCCCGAGACCATTGCGGATCTCAAGCGCGCCGGCATCAACGTGTGGGTGGCCACGGGCG